AAATGAGGGAAAAAAAGTTTTCAAAAGTGGGTGTAATAATTTTTTAAAAAAAAAAAAAAAAAAAAAAAGCTCTATGGGAGTTCAGTCTTTTCATTTGAAAGGAGTTTGCATCACCTTTAATTAAAAGTAGAATTCCACCACTGTGACTTCTGAACTCCGTGCCTCGTCGCTTCCTGGTGGCTTTGGTGAGGATGAGACTTTCTGGAACCTGGAAGGAAAAAAAACAAAAAAACAAACAGTTCTCGATGAAAAACACATAACATCAGAAGACAGATGTAAATATGGGCCTTTGCACAAACACAATTTGAATTTCTTATTTTCACATTTATTCCCCACAAACCTACCCTGTCAGTTCTTTATTTAACAAGAGGTTACATGAAAATAAAAAGGCTTTCCTGAGCTTCTCCTCGCTCTCTGGGTGAGTTGGAGGTTAAATGTTTCTTAATAGAACTGTCCTGCTTTGCATTTAAATCAGTTAAGCTCGGGTCAAATGTTTCAGGTGTCCTCCTGCTAATATCTTGTAATAAGAATATAATTGTCCCATTTCTCTGGACAGGCTTTGTGTCGCTGAACCAGGTTAGAAAGCTTCAGCGGTCACACATTTTTCCAGTTCTCTCTCAAATTTTTCCATGACACTGACTTTAGGGGCTTTGAAAAAAAAAATCCTTTCCAGTAGTTAAGCTTTTATGCCCCTAAGCCATTGTCCCACAGTTCTGTAAATGTGTCACAAAGTGTGCACTTTCTAGATGCTGACTTGGGAGAAAGCATCCACTTATTTGAGGAACTCTGCTTCTTCTGATGCTATGGAGCAAAAATAAGGTTTATTTTGTTTTTCCTTTCTGGTGATGATGAGAAGAATGTACATGTCACTTTTAAATTCTACAATTTTACAGTACAATAAATTGATCCAGAAAGGCAGTTTTCTATAATAATCTTTTCAAACAACTTGAAGTCCACCAATCATCAGCTAAATCAATTATTCACAGTTGGAAAACACTGAAGATGTCTGCCAATTTTTCCAAGTGTGGCCATCTTACCAAATTCACCATTAAAAATCAGTGGTCACTTTTTAGTGAAACATCATCATCAAAACCCAGGAGCTTCATATCAAAATCTGTATGCCTAAATTAGCATGTTTTAGAGGGGTATAAGCAGATCGTGAGCAACAAGGTCTTGAGATAAGCTCACAATATTCCTTATCTAGAGAAACTGTGTCTTGACGTACACAGTAGGTGGAGTAAGGACGACTTTCAAAATCTAAACATATTAATTACCAACCTTAACCGACTTATTTTATGCTGCTTCTTCTATAAAAACAATAAATGTGTTTTTTGTCAAGTCCACTAATGAAGTGACAGGAAAGAATGATTTCAATGCATTTTATAGCTCTAGTCAAGATGCTAATGTTAGCATGCTTTGAAACCTCAGATTTGAGGCTAAATGGAAATTTTTGTGCATTTTTAGGAATCACAGCATCGATCAGATAATGCAACTTCTAAGACTATTAATAAGCAAGAGAAAGATCTTTTATTAATGACTGTTTCCTGCCGACACATTTATCAACACTCATTTGTTGGTACACGGAGGTTGCCCGGTACGCAAACTATTAGAAATCAAACATATATCAATAATATAGTCAGTGCCTAAATCTCCACCGGATTTTGATAAGCTACTGAACACTCAGCAGTGTGCACAGATGATTACTTCATCCCCGGGGGAAAGACCTTTTAACCTTCAAAACCAAGAAGATATAGAAAACTGGTAAACCTCTAATTATGTGGACAAAAAGACCTGATTTGTTTCCATTTTAATTCAACCACAAGAGTCAGTCCTACACACAATATTCATTGAAACTGCACAAACAACACAAAATGATATGTGTGTCTTTTTTTTCCCCACAGCCTGCCGTTTCTTTCTCAGTATGGCTTATTGCTGCTGTCAGTTTTAGACTCTGAGTGAGCTGCTTCTGTCTGTAAATGCTAGCTAATGGGAAACAAAACAGAGCTGCAATTAAACTTAGCACATCTACCACTGTGTTGTGTTTGTATCACTCTCTGTCAGAGCAGGAGCTGAGAAATAAACACTCCCGACCGCTGATGTTATTTGACTAAAGAACAGAATATGGATTGGATGCCGTTCCACTGCAGACAAAAGCCACTTATTAGTGGGTGTCAGTGGGATTTGATCCACTCAGAGAGCAATCTTACTGGTAAATTCCTCTGCTGGATTCTGCCCTGAAAAGCTGCAGGGAGAAAAATTACTCAGATTCAAACAGAGCCCTTCACTACATTAAACACAACTCAGAATGCTGAGTTTGACTGCACAGGTGAGAATGTGTAATCATGTCAGGGTTCAGCTCAGAAGTCCATTATTGAACACTTTTATAATCACATTCGGTCTTTTGGCAGCAACAGCATTAGCTGCGTTTCCATTACAAGTGTGCATAAAACTGTAGGAGAAAACCTCACATTTTTGCAATTGCGGTGTGTCCATAAAAAAAGGCAATTAAAATCACACATTGATACGTTTGTTAACATGATAAGTCATTAGAAAAACATGCCACACGATGGCATGTTTTTCTAACCGTAGTAGTTAGAGGACTACAGAATTAATCACGTGACTCGTGTGTTTCGAAAAAAGTGTTTCACTTGTAGTTTTGCTAAATAAATCAATTTTGATAAAGAAAAACCCACATCATGCTAGCAGAAAAACCTTTTTGACAGCAATGACATTAATTCTTGTTTTTTTAGCAAAAAAAACAAGTTTTAAAAAAAAATTTGCTCAGTTTCCACTGAGCAAATTTATTTTGAAAATGTCAAATTGTGCAGTTATATGGTCAATGGTAATACAGCTATTCTTTTTGTAATATAGGTGTTTGACTCTGTGTGTGTGTATGCGTGTGTGTGCAGTAGGACAGAGGAAAAGTGGTGCCATTCAAAGAAATAAAGCAACACAGTGAGGCTCCCTGCTCGGCTGCCCTCATTCTTTCTCGCAGTGTGTAGTATTACAACACATTCATAATTAATGACGGCCTCCTCCTCGTTTCAGTTATGTCCTGAGCCCGGTGGACACCCTGACCTTTGAAACGTGTTACGGTAAGTGTGTGTGTGGGTTTGCAAAAAGAAATTAAATGTTATGACTCTTATTTTCAGTCCAACTATGGGAAAATTAACCCGTGAAGCACAGACATGTACGTTTCTGTAACCACGGTGGAGTCTTGAAAACTAAAATAAACAAATGTACCTTCAAAAAAATCCTTCAGGCATATTTAATAAAAGCCCTTTCCTAAATGGGAAATTAGATCCATCTGTTCAGCTCTTAACCTCTCCAAAGGTTTCGAGAGGAAGAAATTAAATTGAGAGCAAATGGAAGCTGAAAAAGGGCGTCGTCATACAAATGGTGAATTTGAGATTTGTTTATTTATTTTTGAATGAATAACCTAAAGTCTGAAGAAGACAGATGGATTGAAGGGTGCAGACTCAAAATTTTGGTTCAAGTTCCTGGGCTGAATTTACATTTTCTCCCTGTTCCTTTATTTCTCCTACAGTTACACGACTGTTTCTTATTGACCCACTTCTCTCAGTTAGCATTAGCTTTCTTTTCTTCTTCTCATCATTTCATCTAAAATACAAAGATGCGATTAAAATTTGATAGTTTACTAGTAGTGCTGTAGATATGTCTTGAATCATGATTAAGCATTGATAAAAAAAAAAGTGAACACAAAGTATCAGGAAGAAGAAGAAAGCTAACCCAATCATCAAGTCATGTGAAATGTTGCAGATTTAGGATGTTTAGTTATGGTAAAAAAAAATCCTAATCACATTTATTTCCTTATAATTTCCACAATCTTTTTAATTCCATGAGTTACAATGTAGTCTTGTTGTTATTCTACCTAAACAGTGTCCAATCTTATGATTTCCATCACAGACGTCCCAATGTTATGTGTGAAGGTGACTTTGAAAAATATTTGTTTGGAGTGCTAAAGAAAAAATTAGCTAATGTGCTGACAGCGCATTATGGAAACTGTTAAGTTAAGTAATTTAGGATGGTAAGTAAGTTAAGTAATTATTAATGAAACTAATCACTTTTGAAAATAATTAACTAGTGAAGTAACTCAATTATTTTCTTGGAGGAGTAACCAGTATTTATTTTATTTAACCAATACTAGTGACCACATAACTTGCCTACAACTAAACAAAAAACCCATCAGATATAGAATACACTTCTGTTTATGAATGTGTGCCGTCTGTAAATGAACTATTGATCTCTACTGATCTTCTGCTGAAGAGCACAAAATAAGTTCAAACCTTTTCCTGTTTTGTTTTTTGGGGGGCGGGGGGTGTTATCTTCTTTTCATGCATCAGTTGTATCATTGTAAGCCCATTTCAGGAGTTTTCAGAGTCCCAGTTGTGGTTATACCTGAAGTCTCATCAGCACCAGCAGAGGTAGCAGAGGTTTCAAGGGCTGCAATAATGATCTGACAACACTTTACCTAAAACATGCAGCTTTTCTGTTTACAGGAATATCTGACTCAGGACGGTAACACTTTATTTGACAGGGTGTGCATAAGACTGACATGACACGGTCATAAACATGATATAGCACCTGTTATGATCATCAAGGAGTTTTTATGAATGTTTATGACTGTTGTCATGAAGTGTCATTCGGTAAATAATGACACTTTTAATGCAAAGTTGCTCAAAAAGTTGCATTGAAAGTCCATTAAAAGTGCCAACTTTGCATTGAAGTATAAAATATTTACAAAATAATTAGTGGCATGTTGGGCTGGTTCAACATAACTCCTCTGTTTAGAATGAATTTCCACATTCCCACTCAAAGGACTCTCTGGGGCAAAGTCTGTCTTTAAATCCTGGCTGATCGTTCTGCTGTTCAAACAAGCATTTGAACTCCTTAAACTACTACAAGCAAGGAACTGTTTCCACTGTTACTGGGACACGTGATGGTAGCTATTTATACTAATTTCCATATGTATTTATGGGTGGCGACAAGGCGGATCAGCAGCTGCGCTCTATTTCCCTCAAATTGGGGCGTATAAAGGAAAGGTGCGCAGCCTTGTACATGCACATGGGTTTATACATATGAATTTTTGCTGTGCACAGCACAACCACATGAGGCCCCTGGTTATTATAAAACAAAAGTGGAGTTATGAACTGCAGTTATTTTCACAGCTCTTTCAAAGTTTCTGGACTGCCTCAATTTCACTGTAAAAGTTCTAAAGGAGATGACTGACAGCATTTTTATTTGGATCTGCTCATTAAAAACAGAAATCTGTTCAGACATCTTTATTCTTCGAGAGATATTTTGTCATAAATAAAGGTTGCAGACAAAGGGAACGCAATCTGTCGTCTGAAAGCGCTGAGTGGAAACACTCAATACGGTGGCCATTACGGTTTCTGAATATGCAACACAGAAACAGATGGAATTAATTATGCTAAAATAAGTGAAAAAGGCTGGAGAGATGGAATAGATGAGTCATCATCACCATGAGGAAAGGCTGGTGTTATGTATGATGGTGAGTTTCCATCAGCACCAGAACTGGACCTGATGGGACAGTTCTGAATTTTGGAAGAAGGGATCTGTAGAGAAGCTTAAAGCAATCAGTATCTTGCCTTAGTAGGCAAATTCTCTGAATGTCTTCAATTAGAAAAAAAAAAAACATTAGCTTAATTCAGAAGTTAAAGATTCTGGCTAATTAGTCTGGGGCGGATGAAAAATGGATTTCTATCATCTTGAAACAACTCAGTTTCATTGCATTCAATTAAAGTAAAGTAATAATCATGTGATTAATATTGTGTGATTTTTTGCTCTGGGCCAGTCCTCCATCAAACAATTAGTCTGAATGAAAAATGTGTTTCACATGGATGACCTCCCATGATATTAAAACATCATCATGTCCATCACATTTATTCATCGTTAGCTTCTGTAGTGAAACAAGTCTTCTACTCCAATGAACAATGGAATAGAAATATGGAACTGTTTGAACCACTCCCACTGCAAATTCACAAAAAATGTTGTCTCAAGGCATATTGCTATATAACAAAAGTCAATTTTAGCTACATACATTCCAGTCAATCCAAGTTAACGAAGGAATAAATTCAGTTTATTATTGAAATTGGCTAAAAATGTTTCTAAAGAAACCCAAAAGATCACATCAAGTGATGGACTCAGACAATTTGCTCTTGCTGGACGACCATGTGTCGTTGACTTTGTAGCAATCCATCATACTGTGCAGCAGCAGTGGAGAGGAAAAAAACTCCCCTTTATTAGAAAGAAACCTCCAGCAGAGCCAGAACCTGATTATTCTCTCTTCACAAACATACCTGGAGTGTTGCCTTGATTCTTTCACGCATGTTTGAGAAATCATTTAATCTCCCGGGGCAACCACTCAACTGTGCAAAACGCCTGGGTGGACCAAGCTCCATCAAGTTGAGCTTCCGTGTTACAGAGCACCACTCACCCTGCGACTCCCCCACTCAGCTCCTTCAGACTAGCCAGCAACAATTAGCAAACACCTGGTGGAACTGCAGATCTGAGGAGCTCATTTTACAAGTCACTTCTTAGTAACAACGTTGTTTAAGGGTTAATAGAGCAGCGATGCTGTGATGACTTCCTGAAGGCAGAGTTTCAGAAAGAGCAGGAGTTTCTTAAAGAGACAGAAGCCCACTTTCAAGGTGTTCAATTACAAAGTAGAAAAGTCATATTTGATATTTAGAGCTTCTTTTAACAACTGGAGTTAACATAGTTACTTGACTGTGTTATAAAACAGCACTATGCGTCTGGAAAATACAGAACACTGCCCCTTTAACAGAAAATGCTCCTACAAAGATCCTCCTGCAAATTGAGAGGAACAGAGTTATCTGACAGCAATTCATGTGAAATAAATGGGTTTCTGCAAATTTTATGATTTGATGTTTTTGTTTGTTTATGTCTGTGTTCTAAATACGAAGAGTCCAAGAAAGCATAAATATGCGAAGCTGAAATATTAAAACAGGCTCCATCTGTGCTACTGTATGTATTTATTTTAGGAATCTAAATGAGCACTTTTATGACATAATACCAGTAGAATAAAAAGTACACATTGTTCCACCAAAGCTCAGCTGCTGCAGATTATTGTATTCTCTGGTAATCAGCTGTAAATGGTTTCATGTTAGAGCCAGCATGGCAGATGTGACTATGACCGATAGTCCCTCGGGTCTTCTGTCCCTACTAGCAACACATGCTGCCAGCCTAATATAGCCAGTCCTCACTGCAGCTAAAACCAGAGGAAACTGACTAGCAAAGGCAAAACTGAAGTACAAACAAAAAAAAGAGAAGATGCTCAAATCTATCAAGATGGCATCGTGCCAAGAAAACAAGAATGTTGCATGGAAAGTGTTTGCATACACTTTGCAAACACTTGCAAAGTGTATGGGCTTTGTTTAAAGCACTCAATTTGCTTTAAATGGAGTCAACAACAAAAAATGTCGAGTCACTTTAATGTACATTGTACAACTATAACACTGTCTATTATTGATTTAACAATAAAATCACTGCAAACTTTGTTAGATTATCACATCCACTTTATATCCTGCTGTGCAGAATCTAAATCAGTCCAAATTCAATTTAGATCAATCCAGTTTATTCTGAAAACTATCCATTCAGACTATCCAACTGTTAAATTATCGATGAATTCTTAAAATTAAATAATAATAATACTGAACATCTTTTCAGTCCCTCCAGGATTTTGTGATTCTTTTTGTAAATTTTCAATAAAATCAAAATGTTTGTGGTAGTTATTTGGAAACGCAACTTTTTATTACTCGCTGTATAGATCATGGATTATAATCTGACATCAATTAAGGCTGAGGAAGCTGTTTAGTACAAGTAAGAAAGTTTTTGACAATTTTTGAAGAAAATCTGAAATAAACTCCCAATTATTAGCGCAAAAAAAGTGCAGGGATTTGTTGATTTTGCGTGAATTTCCACAATAACTCAAGAAACTGGAGGGTCTGATTGATATAATTTGGCAGTAAACAGATGAAAACTGCATTGGTCTGATTGATAACAAAATATTTAAGCACACACACATTAGCACATTTAGCAGCGAGTACATGAAGTGATTGACAGTGCTAAGCCCCTCCTCCTGGCTCTAATTAGTTGCTTTTGGTCTGGAGCCGTGCATTACTTCAGACAGCAATAGTAGCTCAGGGAGATCATTCTTTTGACAGATTATCTAATAAAAAAAAAACTGTCACGACATGGTACAAGTTTTAACAAACAAGTAAGAAACTCATTCTGTATATGTTACATACTGCAGCTTTAACTTGAACATACCTTTGGCCGGCTCTGACTGTTCCAGGTATGAAGTTTCTAGAAAACAAAGTCAAGCTCTGAACTGCCTACCTGACTCTTTTTTAATAAAATGTTCTCAACGTTTATTTACCAGTAAGTAATGCGTGAAGTGAGTCAGTGAGACAACAACACGGAAACCTCCTGGAAGGTTCCTGAGAGGCTGCACTGCAGCAGAGCTGTGGTCTGTACAGCAGCCGCTGAGCCAGAACCGACTTCCTTCTGTCTGCAGCTCAGCCTGAAGCCACACATTACATTATACAGTACAGATGTGTGGATAGGAAAACGTTTATCTGCTATCAGAGCGCAGCAGAGTGCCGAGGTTGACAGAAAACACAATTCAATAGTTTGATTTTCGGAGTTTTCCGAATCTCTACTGAGTTTGGCTTTAGTGGGGCATGTCTGCTGCTGATAAGCCAGAGCTAAATGACTGGGGTCAGTATCATGCCTCAGTTGGTGCAGAGAACATAACGTGTTAAGACGCCTCTTTAGCCAAATACCTGGCGACGACGACTGCGGAGATATTTCAACCGTTTTTGATTTACGCTTTTCTTTTTTTATTTTGCTTTTGTCATATTTAAAAAAAATAATAAAAAATCCAGCACCTGGTTACGCATCAGCAGCCATATGCTAACGGAGCTCAGGGATGTCCTGTGCGATGGCCTCAGAGGACGCTACCTGTGCAACAGGTCCAGCCATGAAATTTCCTCATCATTTATTTGCTACCATCAGCTGTTGGTGATGTTATGATACAGTGGAAATGATTGAGAACACCTCTGCCAGTCAGCGATTAGGCAAGGTTTAAATCAGTGGATACTGAGACGCTTTAACCCCTTCTCCATAGTCAAGTCTCATTCAGGACCGTTAAAAGTTTGGTTTGGTTACAGCTAAGCTGGGTGTGTCTCCACTGGCAGGCGTTCTGTTGAAGCTGTGATGTCATTTTGTGCAGGCGCCCTTAAGCGGCTTTTTTCTCCAAAATCCCTCAGCTTCTCTGTCCGTTGCAGGCTGCCCCATCCAGCTGAAGGCACATACTGCCTTCTGAAAGTACGGCCTTCGCCATCATTACAGTTATTGTAGTTAACTAACACTAACAAAATAACAAAAACTGTAATTGAGAAAATATGTTTGTTAAATAAATAAAAACAGCAATTAATGGGGAAAGAGGCCAAAAAATTTACACGGGTAAGATTGTTGTTCTTCCATACCTCAGATATTACAATCCTCTCTCTACTCTTCCAAAGCTGTTTGGCTCCTCAGCCTACAAGCATCCCTTTGCTGTAAAAGATTTTCTCTCCAACCTCTCAAACGGTGTCAGAAGCCTCGTCATCTGGCTTAAGCTGGCTGATCCTATCTGGAGACGCGGCGAGCGCCAACCTCTTGAGACATCTGGTGCAACGCAAAGGTCAAAACTGTTTGTGTTTCACTTCCCACAACTTGAAACCAAAGAGGCTCTCCGTGCTCATAGTGCGAAGTGTGGAGACAGGCGTGTAATCACAGTATCTGCTCTCCTTTCCTCACCTCTTGCTATGAATATTTAATCCCACCATAATTTTGTTCTTGGCTATTTCATCAAGAGTCCTGCTTCTGATGTTCTTAACCAAAAACAAGCCAAAAGCAAGGTTCTCTCACAGAGCCAAAAAACTTACTATAAAGCATTTTACTGTTTGCCCTTGTTCATTCTAATTCCCAACCTTTGCAGTTCGCTTGCATAAATGATTTGCTCTGAAAGTTTGATGATGTTCATTGATAATTTAAATGTTCCCACTTTTTAATTCTCTCTAGGATCATTGTAATTTTCCAACCAAGTCCCCGAATCCCAGCTGCTCCTTTTGCAGTCACCGTTAAGAGAATGCAGGATCCACTTCGACAAATCCGTTTAATTAATCTCAAACAATGAATGGAAGGAGGCATCTAAAGTTTGAAATGTATGACATCTGATGTGGGGCAAACTCTGCGCTCTCAGCAGGATGAATCCTTAATGTACTACATTAGTCTGACAAATGCGCATGTCTTTTCAGCTTTCATTCTTCATGATTCGTTAAAAATGGCCCTGTTGCTTAAGACAAGGGAAACTAAGTGGTGCGTAGACTTCAGCCAACAGCTACAGCAGTGAGAATAGCTAGCTAATGTGCTCACTAGAGGAAATAATTTCCAGTTTGGTCATGGAGAAGGTGGGACATCAGCAGGTCGGCACTACTGCTGTATTGACAGCTGTGCAACAAAGTGATCATTTACTACACAATACTGTCTAGGCAACAAACAATGTTGTCGCCTAGACAATATTGGGACTGATAAGGATATTAACCCTTGTGTGTGCGAGGACTGAGGCAAATGATACAAGTGATATGGGTGTGGGGTCGGTTGGACCCCATTTGTAAACACAAGGGTTAATATTGTTTGATGACTCTCTAGTTTCTGATCAACATGTATATATACATTAGTAAAGATCTTGGAGATTTAAAGAAATGACTATACATTCCTAGAGTTGCTCACATTCCCAAACACCAAGTCCTTACTGAATATACGTGTCATTGTAAAGGGCATAGTGAGGACAATAAATATATAAAAAAATATTTGCCACTTATTAATCATTTTTAGAAACATTTACATTTTCAAGGAGCGTTAACCAAAACTCACTATATTCTCAAATATTTATTTTTCATTTCTCACTCAGTGATTTTAAGCTAACACAAGCATGTGAAAGTCTGTTCTCTGAACTGTAGGGATCCAATGGAAGGACTTCAGAACTGGGTTAATGTGCTTCATCTTCCAATTTTTAGAGAGAACTGCGGCACTTTTAGCAGACCTATGAAGGCTCTGTGGGAATCAGTGGGAGCAAAGGTAAACAAATAGATGAGTTTGTCTAGACCCTGCTGGGAAATTAGTCCTTCAGTCCTGGAAATGTTCTTCAGGTGATAGAAGGCCGACTTCGTAACTGTCTTTGTGTGACTGAATGTCCAGTCTGAGTCCATCACCATACCTATTTTGTCCCTGATCTCTAGTTTCCAGCTGTAATGACTGAAGCTGTGTGCTGACTCTAGATCGATCCTCTTTAGATTCAAAGAAAATAACTTCAGTTTTGTTTCTGTGGAGCTGGAAAAAGCTATGGAAGTGATAATGCTTAAAAAAGAAACTAACAAGACAACAAAAGCAAGAGCACAGAAAAAGAAGATAAATATACATATAAAAAGACACACACATCCTGGCACCACTACAAACATGAGAAAATTAATGAGACCTGGTGCTCCCAGTGCTGCTTAGCCCAAAATATTACAGCGAAAAGAGAACAGTGTGCTTCCTTAATAACCTGGACTC